TGTTCTGAGGATGTTGCTAAGTAAGAGTCTGTTAACATCAAGGAGACCTCTTGTAAGTAGGCTGTGACCCATGAAGCTGAACACAGCTCTTCAGCCACGGCAGCCATCAGGCATTTGATGAACATATTTAGCTGCTTGTCTGGGATTGCGAAAAGAAGCATCTAGCAAGCTTTATTCCATTTAGTGAATTACAGACTGAACAGACCCACAAGCTGATGGCAACTTATCCCATGCCAGTTAGTTAATACTACAGATTACAGGAAGGTGAACATAATGACGCTACTAGGGATGTGGGAGTTGAGGTGTATATATTCATTGTTGGTGACATTCCTTTAGTGATTCTATTTATTATTTTATTTATTGTGATCAATAATAATAACAACAAATAGTAGTACAGTGGTACCTTGGGTTACAGACACTTCAGGTTACAGACTCTGTTAACCCAGAAATAGTACCTCGGGTTAAGAACTTTACCTCAGGATGAGAACAGAAATTGTGAGGAGGTGGTGCGGCAGCAGCGGGAGGCCCCATTAGCTAAAGTGGTACCTCAGGTTAAGAACAGTTTCAGGTTAAGAACGGACCTCCAGAACGAATTAAGTTCTTAACCCGAAGTATCACTGCAGTCACTATCTAAGTTAGTTTCTGTTGCCTTTCTTTTTTACCTAACATACCACATAAAATTACTCTTCGTCTATGTTAATCTAAAAATGGCTCTTTAACGATTTCCTACAAGGAAACTTGTGTGTTTCACCTAAGGCTGGATACAGACCTGGCTTAACAGCAGGATTTTGTATTTCCAAAGGGAAATCCTGACACTTTGGGCAGATGCAGGGCTCCATGGCTTCACCGCCAGCCAACTTTCCCCCTCCGCTCCTTGCTTTGTTTACCACCTTAGCCTAATGAAGAGCTCTGGAAAACTCAAAAGCTCACACGGTGTTTCCTTACATGTTGCTTAGCTTGAGAAAGGCATTGCCTTTGAATATAGAATGTTTATATATTGTTATTCCTCTTCCATGGTTAGCTGTCTGTTTTTGAGAGTTGACTTTTGGGGAAGCATAAATCCACTGAATAAAAGCACCTGTGAGTATCAGATGAGGGGGACAAACCACTGGCAGTTCTGTCCATGTCCTTTTCAGTGAAGCACCTTAAATGGTGATGGACTGAAAAGACTCCTCTACCATTATACTCTTTTTCTACGCTAGACCTTTCACATGTGGCTTACCTAACCCTGAAAATCAATTTGTAGAGAATTTTTAAAAAGACGAGAAAGAGCGTGCTCACAAATATAAAGTTAAAGATGTAATGTTACAGGAAAATAATGAGCACAGAGGGAAAAGAGAACAAGTTTTATTGATTGTCTCTAGGAACTAACTCTGGAATTTAAATGTGCACATCAGAGCATCAGTAAATTCAGGCAACAGAAATAAAGCTGTGTTCCTTAATAAGCTCACTACTTCAATTTAATGGCTGCCTTTTGCCTAATCTAAATGCAGGCTTCTACCAGGTATGAATGAATGTTGTTATTAATTAAAGATTTCTGCTGATACACTTACAGCAAATGTGCTCTTATAATATATTACAATTATATTAACATAAAAAATGTGAGCCACTTGCAGTTAAGAGCCAATGACTCTTGTGTAGTAATAGTGTAAAATGGAAGCTTGATTTAAAAAAAAAATTGGTAAAGTGATCTTCCTGGAGGGTTTGTTTCTATCTCGTGCTATTTTTGCTCACTTTACTACAAGAAAAATGTCTGTCTGTGTACACACAGAGAGAGATTAAATAGCAAATAGGTTATATATCCATAACTATAGCCCTGCTCAAGCATTCACCCCACCATCAAGCAATTAGAATAGTGTAAAGGGGAACACTGACTTTTAGAGTATATTAGATAGATCTATCTACTCTCTTGCTTTGGTCTTTATTCTAATTAGTTTTATCTTTAAGGATGGTTTCTTAAATCAGTGTTTCCCAACCTGTGGGTCACCACCCGCAAGTGGATTGTGACGCCTGAGCAATTAGGCCGCTTTATAAGCAAACCCCCCCAAATTATTGCTTTTAATTCTTAGCTGGTGTGATGATATCTCTTCACAACTTTCTTACCCTCCAATATTTCTCCGATGTCCCATTCCATAATGATAATTTTGCTATTTATACACCACACATCTTACTGGGTTGCCCCAGCCACTCTGGGCAGCTTCCAACGTATATTAAAAACACAATAAAACATTAAACATTTTAAAAAACCTTCCCTATAAAGGATTGCCTTCAGATGGCTCAGGGATCAGATAACCCCATACCCTCCAACATTTCTCCAATGAAAATAGGGACATCCTAGGGATAAGTGGGACATTCTGGGATCAAATCAGAAACTGGGACGGCTTCTCAAAATCAGGGACGTTCCTGGAAAATAGGGAGACTTGGAGGGTCTGAACTTTTTGTTTCGTTGGCGTCTTTTAATGCTGTGTTGACAGTTGTAACCAAATGTCAGAAAGGCTTGAGTCTTACATTTTAGCATTTGAGAACCACTGTCTGGTGGCTGGCAGGAAATCCAATGACAGGCAGATGGATGGCACCTTGTAAGCTTCCTTCTTGCAAGTCCTGTAGCCAAACTGGTGCCAAATGTATTCCTCTGCTTTCCTTTGGACCACATCAGCAAGGACGAGAGGGGGGGTCTTGTCGTCTGGACAGCTCAGGACCTCCATACACACTGTCCAGGCTTGCACCCCAGAGAGGTCATTTCAGTACAGTGGCACCTCAGGTTACATACGCTTCAGGTTACATACTCGGCTAACTCAGAAATAGTGCTTCAGGTTAAGAACTTTGCTTCAGGTTGAGGACAGAAATCATGCTCCGGCGACGCGGCAGCAGCAGGAGGCCCCATTAGCTAAAGTGGTGCTTCAGGTTAAGAACAGTTTCAGGTTAAGTACAGACCTCCGGAACGAATTAAGTACTTAACCCGAGGTACCACTGTACTGTGAATGCAGCAAAAACAATGCAGGAGGAAGCTGTTACGAAATATAAGCCCAATCTGAGTTGCATCCCACATTGGTCTTTACGACCATGACAGGCAATGCAACTTATACTAACAGTTTGACCTCACCCACAAAGGCTTCTCCATTGTCTCCTGAGACAGATGGATGCTTGTACAGGAAGTTTTGTGTGACTATTACAGCTCACCCCTGATGCTCAGCCATTCAAAACAACTCTCTGTACAAGGACCTTGTGACAAATCATCACTGGCTCTGCTACTGGAGTTAGTTAATAGCTTAGGCCAGCAGAGCTCCTACGTATGGCCTAAACCAACACCTAGCAAGGTTGAGCAATAACTTCTGGTGCACAGATATTTCAAGGATTCACTGATAAAAGTCATGGACCCAGGGTGACTTCTGCAATTCATGGAAGTGAATGAAAAGTGCTATAGTGGAGAGGCAGGTCTCCTGATTGGACAGATACTGCAGGTTTCATGCCTGGAGCCCCACATAATGTAGGAACCAGTGAACTTTGCAGTTCAGTAGACATTCTTTGCAAATGAGCTTGTAATGAAAAAGAACATTGTTGCAAAATGTAAGCTAATTAACTTGCATAGAGCTGAGCAATGATGCAATGTTCTTTTGATCTTGCCAATATCATTACTAAACCTGAGCTACTCTATAACTCAAATCTTGCAGGGGGTGTGGAATGAGATGCCTACCTCCTGACTTACAAAGTGTGTCTAGTGCAGAAGACCCAGGCTTAAAGCAATGCTTAGTTACAAAAAGGGGTACTAGGGTGTTTTCTTTGCCTTTGTTTTGCTGTCTTAACACAAAATATATTTGTGTGAATTTTGTACATTCTCTGAACAATATGCACAATCCCCAACAGGTCTTGGGGAATGTACATCTTTTGACTGGATTTGGACATTCTCCAGGAATTTGCACATAGTATAGATAGGGGGAATTCATGCTTTTTGGACACACTCTCTTGTTCAAAAATGTGCAGGCTGAATGCTGGCAAGTCAGAAACACAGCACCCCCACCTTTTGCCCCAGCTGGTATGGCAAGCAGGGCTGGCCTGCCACCACATTTTAATACTCTCTAGCCAGGGTTTGGATTGCAATCCCAAAATATGATACAAGGCATATGCATAGCCTCTGAAGAGATGTTAGAAAAAAAACGCATATTGACTGTAATACCAATTCTCTACCGTGTCACAAGCGTTCATTTCAAAATAAGACACAATGGTATGCTACCCCCCCCCAAAACAAATGTTAGTGGAACTAAGAAAATTTCATGCCAACTGGGGTGAAAGCCAGGTGGCTGGTAATTTGTCAGCCATGGACTGGGCCGGAAAAGGCAGTGGGTAGGATCAGAGGTACTTCACACTCTTTCCCAACTTTCGGAGTTCTGTTAGGCCTGTTAGGGATTGTGCATATTGTCTAGAGAATGTACTAAATTCAGCAAGATATGCCCATTCCTCAAGGCCTGCTGGAGATATTGCCTGGGAAACGTATATTGCCTGGGAAACGTGCACAATTCCCTCTTGGATGGATTATGTGCACATTTTCCATGGTCTGGTGAATGTATGCGATGGCTGGTTGTTATACACATTATCTACTCAACTTACATTTCCCTTAACACACACACACACACACACACACACACTGTCCTAATGACCAAGAAAACTGTTTTTGAAGATTTCATGTTTAGAAAACCTCTTGCTTGAAACAGTTCCAAAGGTAAACACCTACACGCTCTTAATAGCATTGGTTTTAATGCTACCAAACACAGGGTTGATATGCACATCTTCCAGACAAACAGCCTTATCCCAACTGTATAAACACAATTGATTTTAATTGGATTTATTTCCAAATTAAGTGTCTCAAGAATTGCAGGCATAAAAGAAAACTGCAAGTGTTTCCTTATTCCTTTCCCCCCGTTGTTGTTTAAAAAATTGCTCAACCCAAGGGAACACATGAATCAAGAATGCCAACTTGTCCTTGAAAATTTGTACTGCCAGTTTAATGAGGTGTGTGTGTGTGTGTGTGTGTGTGTACGTACACACACACACACACACACACACACACCATTTCCCATATATGCCAGGTGTATTTTGTATGTGTGTGATCATGTAAATTTAGGCCAGATGTAGGGAACAATTAAAATGGAACATGCCAGGCCAAAAAAGCAACATCTGCGAGGAGCACTATTGAGAGAGCAGCTTTTCTAACCATGTACTAAGATCAAGGTCTCTGATAACCCACCTGGCTACATGGAAGCATTTGGAGAACAGCAAGCAGTGTTACATCATTAAGCCATAGCAAGCCTTGTCTCTGGACACTGAATATGTACACATAAGATATTTTTTTTAAAGACCCACAAGGTTTCTTTAATTCCAGTTGGTATAAGGTGCTCCTGCCGGTTGTGACCCACAGAACACAAGACCAAATAGGCAAGGTAAAACACATAATTGGGGAGAATGTCTTGCAAACTCAATAGGTACAATACTATTGAGTTATCTATTTTAGAACATTGGTCTGATTTTTGCTCAAACAACCCACTCCCAAAAGAAAGACTAATCATTTTATTTAGATTCCTACAATTTCAAAACCCACGCTAGGTTAGATTTACCTCCGCCTTTGTTAGCTGGCCATCGAGCTCTTTCTAATATAAATATAAATGATTATGAAGGCACTGAATAAGTTTGGTTTCTGTGTTGAATTTGATAGACCTGCAGAAATGTTGCCCAAAGTAGCACCCAGCTTAAGCTGCCTTGAAGGAGGCAGTGGTGCAGCCCCTGCTAAAAAGCCCACCTTGGATCCAGGGGTTTATCCCGGCCACAGGGGGCCACACATTGATAACCTCATAACTAGGCCACTGTTATGTGCTGTGTGAGAGAATACCATTGGTTCATCTAGCTGGGTATTGTCTACACTGATTCGCATCAACACTCCAGCGTTTCAGGCAAGGGAATTCCCAGGCCAACTTGGAGATACCGCAAATGGAACCTTCTGCACTCAAAGCAGGTGTTCTACCATTGATGTATGGCCCTCCTCCTCAGCTTAGCTGCTTCTTGTTATAATGCTTCAGTGTGGTGTAGTGGTTAGGAGTGGTAGTCTCGTAATCTGGGGAACCGGGTTCGTGTGTCCGCTCCTCCACATGCAGCTGCTGGGTGACCTTGGGCCAGTCACGCTTCTTTGAAGTCTCTCAGCCCCACTCACCTCACAGAGTGTTTGTTGTGGGGGAGGAAGGGAAAGGAGAATGTTAGCCGCTTTGAGACTCCTTAAAGGGAGTGAAAGGCGGGATATCAAATCCAAACTCTTCTTATCTCCTGGGCTTCAATTTCCCATAAATCAGCCCTTATTCACTGGCCTTCAATTAAAATATACTTTCATGCATATTTTGCTACCTCCACTTACTGAAACTGTAGCTAAGGCCTGTGTGTGTGTGTGTGTGTGTGTGTGTGTGTGTGTGTGTCCTTTCAAAAATGCCTCCTCTGGGTGACTTGTGCATTGGGAAAGCAGAGAGCTCCATAACACATTTCATTCACAGTGATTTTAGCTTTCTGTAATGTTTGTAATATTTAACCATAATGGCTCTGTCTGATTCTCAGTAGACAAAGCTATTACAACCCAGCAGGGTAAGTGCCTGAAACGGAAAATATTGTAACAGTTAAACCCATCTATAATTTGAACTCTTTGCACTAAAAAAAAAATCTGAGAATTCACAAGTATTACTGTTGAATCTAAAAAAACTCAAAATCTCTCTCCAAAATACTGAAGGTGTATTGCAGCCCATGGTTTAATGAAGAGCCCAAAATTTATTAAAACCAAACTTATGCTCCAGGAAGTTCAAACCAATCACTTATAGTTGCTTTTCCTGACAAAGTCACCAAATCATACATTTCCACCTCCTTTTTAGCTTTTGCTCATATTGTTTTGCCAAAGTGGTTTTTTTTATTATTATTTTGGACTTTTTTGGAAGTTGGACTAAAAAAGACGTTAGAAAATCTACAATTCTTCTTTAAAAACATGTTTTACATGATACCCATATTATTGGCTAAGATTTACTTATGAATCCTGTTTTTTGCTATAACCATTTATCATGGAAGCTGTATCTTTACTATGTCCCACTCTGCATATATGTATCCTAAACAACTAATGAGACATGTCTAACAAGATTCCTAAATACTTCTGTTCACAAATATCTCCTTCAGACCAAATCATACTGAATTTTGATTGGGTCACGGCAGCTGCAAACTGCTACAAAGCAGGTTGGGTGGACCTGAATTGATTTGGAACTAAAAAAAGTTTCTCTAAAGCTAGATAGTCTCCATAGTGTTGCAGTTATTAATTACAACGAGTGAATAGGAGTACAATATTGGCTTTCTCAATCTGGGTGCAGATCAGGTCCAGAATGATCCAAACCAAATCAGGTCCAGATCATCCAATTGGGACCTGAATCAGATTGGCTGGAGGGCCGGGAAATACTTCAGTTGCTGCTGCCACAGAGGAAGCAGAGAGGAGGTCCAAGCTGGATTGCAACTATGGACCTGTGGGGAGGAAGGGTGGCAAAAGTCACCTCTTGCAACTTTAATTTGTCTGGGGATAGAAGTTCTCATTGGCACTGATGAGGTTATTTTAGCTGGGGGATATTTTTGTCAGGGTCACGGGGAGGGGAGAGCTAACGCCTTTTCCTGTATACCATGGTGCTAGTTCAGATTAGGGCGACCCATGCCAGCAAGTGAAATGTAACATGTAGATTGGCCCTTTTAGAGTTCTCTTACTTCAGGAGTGCTCTGATGGTGTTTCCTGCTTGGCAGGGGGTTGGACTCGATGGCCCTTGTGGTCTCTTCCAACTCTATGATTCTATGATTCTACTCTGTGACCTCATTTCTTCCGAAAATGATGAAACAGTCCAAATAAAAAGCTCTGGTACAGACCAGGAGGCTATCAAGGTTCAAGCAGGAACACCCTGCTTTAAGCAGAGAAGGGCTTTGAAACAAAATAAACAATGTCAGAATACCGGCCAATGTTAATTGTTTAATAAATAAAAAGGAACTCTTGGATTATAAACGGCAGAGTGGCTACTTTTCTTCCTGTCCCATTGTTATACATTGCTGAGATACTGATGCAAACCTATGGATGAGCTGTCTCACAGAATTCCTTATGCAGAAGAAGGGTTAAATTTGTCATGCACTGCAGATGTCTGTGAAATTTGCACAAATTCCTTGATTGGTTTTTTCATGCAAAAATTTCCACTGAGAATAAATTTTTTATCTGAGACGTAGCTGGGCTACTTTGCCCGACTTTTTAATTTGTGGACTGCATTCTACGAAAGTTTACAGCAGGGAGATGAGGAACATAGCCATTCCGTTTTGAATAAATGTACTCAAAGGCATTTATAGAATGACCTTGAGTGAATAAGTATAAACATTCCTACTTTGGAGGTGCGAAAAGCACATTGTCATCATATGGAACAGTTCTAAGCTACTCTGGCTCTTTTAGTTAAAATGTAATATTAAAGGTAAAGGTACCCCTGACCGTTAGGTCCAGTCGCGGACGACACTGGGGTTGCGGCACTCATCTTGCTCTATAGGCCGAGGGAGCCAGCGTTTGTTCGCAGACAGCTTCCGGGTCATGTGGCCAGCATGACTAAGCCACTTCTGGCGAACCAGAGCAGCACACGGAAATGCCGTTTACCTTCCCACCGGAGTGGTACCTATTTATCTACTTGCACTTTGACGTGCTTTCGAACTGCTAGGTGGGCAGGAGCAGGGACCGAACAACGGGAGCTCACCCCATCGCAGGGATTTGAACCGCTGACCTTCTGATCGGCAAGTCCTAGGCTCTGTGGTTTAACCCACAGCGCCACCCGCATCCCTCTAAATATTAGAAATAACCTAATTCTTTGAAAGTGCAGCCCAATCCTCTCTCCATGTTTGCTCAGGTTGAATGGCCATCTGTCATGGACGTTTTACTTGAGATTCCTGTATTGCAGAGGGTTGAACTAGATGGCCCTCGGGATCTCTTCTAGCTCTACAATTCTGTGAGTCTGTGATAAGTCCCATCCACTCTCGAAGGACACACAAGAACCTACCTTTTAAGTGTGGATGGTCCCTCTGTTTTTAATCCTTTCAATGAACAGGCGACTCCTCTGCAGCACTGCGATCCTTCCAGCAGAGGAGTCTACATTGCAGCTACTGCTAGCTCACTAAGTTCACACTGGAAGTAGCCGAAGAGCATTTCTGTGGTTCTTTCATTCACCTTTATGGCATTCCTGGGAGATCGGCTACTCACAGCACCAGGCAAACCCACCTAATGAGTTCACAGTTGAAAGCTTAACTCCCCAGGACCCAAGTCCAAAAGACACGTTATCCACTGAATCATACGAGTTCTCAGTGGCAATTTGGAACATCTGACAACCCTCAGCTGCTGGTGAATTTTATGCCATTTTCATTATTACAGGAAAACTTCACTCATCTGTATTTGTCTTTCTCAAACGATTATGAATTGAGGACTACAACTCCATAAAATTTATATTTTGTCATCCAGTTTGATTGGTGAAATTATGTTATTGAGAAGGATTCCAAGATCACATTATCCAGAAAAGAGTAATGCACTACACCCAGTGGAAGAACAATACATGTTCTTATCTATACAGGCAGGCAATCAATTTTGTAGTGCATATATCAATAGAAGCTGGAGGCCTGCTATTGGCAGATCAGGTAGATGAAATCTTGATACTACCTCTACTAGCAATGATCACCAAAGTAGAATTTATAGAGGGCAGGAACAAAATGAATTAGACGGTGCTGCTCTTAGCCTGCTGTCCAACTCCAGAAATTGTGATGTACAAAGGAAAAACTCTATGCGGGGAGTGGGGGATTAGCTATATATTCTGTAATTTTCATGCATAGCATACTGGAGAGAATGGAAGCCTGCAGAATAGTGCCATTAAGGACGTCTAACACTGTGCAGACTGTGCTGATATTTCTCTTGACCCCTTGCTTCTTCTTCCATTCTCTCCTATTGCTATTCTGCCACCCTCATCAACTTTCTCCCTTTCTTTTCCTCATCTTTTTACCGGTTC